CCCCCCCCCCCCCCCCCCTTGTGAATTAGTCTCCCTACTGGGCTTTACATGCTTTGTTTTTCTAATCACGGACCCAAAAAAACATAAGGCAGAACGAGTGTCCCAGCGGGATAGAATGACTAAGTCCACATGCGTTTCAGGTACATATTTATCCAGCTGGAAGATTTGAAAGGTCGGAGAAGCTCTTTAAAGTGAACCCAGGCTTCAGTAAACAATAAAGACATGTCGTGTATGAGTAAGCACAGAGCATTAACACAAACACCAACAGGCTTAGCTGCTGCGATGGTTCCGTTTAATACAATGCAGATATGGGACTCAGTCTGGCTTTCAGGTATTATGGGGCTTATTTGACTTATTTCCTCTTTATTATATTGTATTTATGAAACAAATCAGAGCTGAGGATATGTTTAACTCCTTGAAAAAATCTGATAAACCTGAAAACACCAGAGGTTATTGTTTCTTTTATGACACGGCTCGTGGTTTAGACCCTTAGGTCCATTCTAAGTTGTTATTTTTATTATTAGCATCACATACAGTGTTAGAAAACTGTCCACAAATCAGCCCCATTGTGGTGAAACAGTACCTGTGTTGGCACAGAAGGAGCGCCCCCTGCTGTCTGACTGTGGCATGAAGTTATTCAACCAGCATTATTCAGTCTTTTTGTTCATCTGAGTATATAGTTTTAAAATGTTATTTCTTTTTTTCTCCGTAGGAAAAGTGCAATTTCGATTGAAAATGTGTTGTTCACAGTTTCCCCCAGGCTGTAACAGCAACAGTGGAACCACAGTGGTCATAGAGGCTGTAAATCGTGTTTGATTTAGTCTGTGTTTGTACACCCACATGTAAACTCTTTTAATTCAGCAATTGTTTTCCTTTTTTACTGGCTCGAAAAGCCACAGTAGAATGTAACACAACTGTTTGAACTTTGGCTAAATGGTCATATAATTATTTACATTTTCTGACAGAAATAATCTACAGTATGTTAGAATGGGGGAAAATTGTCAAACTTTACATTTCAGCTGGTTAGCATTTGAAAAAACTTTATCTAGACCCACTTCTACTTTCACTTTGTTTTTTCTAAGTCAACTTGGAAATCTCTCTTTCAACCATTTGCCCCATTTCAAAGAGAACACTAGTTTTTCTGGGACAGAGAGTCTATTTTCTTAAGTTCTCCTAAGTTTCAAAGTAAATTGTTTAGTTCAAGGGCCATTTGCTTCCCTTTCTTGTGTACAATTCAATCTCCTACATACAAACCAACTTTAGTCAGCATTAATTTAAATCATTCATTTATTGTAAAAGTTTACTATAAATGTCTGAATACATCCTTTATAACATGAGCACTGCTTTGTTTGAAATGTTAGTTTTGCCTTAGTCTTTGTTGTCAGTCCCCTGACAGTTACCGAAATCCCTGAAAGCAAGCGGATAAAAGAGCTGATTGGCATTCAGTATTCATGTGTGTTCATTACTGGTTTGAATATAAAATGATGATAATTACATGTTGTATGGACTGAAAAATGCCTTGCAGGCGGGACTCATCATGCAAAAAAAGATTTTAATTAAAGCTTTTGCACCAGACTTTAAATCATGGTAATGTCGGTGTTGACCTCTTCAAAATGTTACCAAACTATTAATCTAATTACACGTGCGTTGAATTTGCCAACACTTTTTTTGTCTCTTCCAGGGAGTGGCATTCGTTTCGCTCTTCTTCATTCTGGTGTCCATCACCACCTTCTGCATGGAGACCCACGATGCCTTCAACGAAATTAAAAACATCACGGTGCCAGTGAAATTGGGCAACATTACCTATTATGAGAAGAAGTATATTATCGAGACAAATCCCATCCTCTTCTTAGTGGAGGGCATCTGTGTGGTGTGGTTCACCTTTGAGTTCCTGGTGCGCATCATGTGCTGCCCGAAGAAGCTGGTCTTCATCAAGAACACGCTGAATATCATTGACTTTGTGGCTATCATTCCCTTCTACCTGGAGATGGGCCTGAGCAGCTTAACATCCAGCGCGGCGAACAACGTGCTCGTCTTCCTCCGTGTGGTCCGGTTCGTGAGAATCCTGCGGATCTTCAAGCTGACGCGGCATTTCGTGGGCCTGCGTGTTCTGGGTCACACGCTGAGGGCCAGCGCTAACGAATTCCTTCTGCTCATCATCTTCTTGGCGTTGGGCGTGCTCATCTTTGCCACCATGATTTACTACGCCGAACGCATCGGCGCCAGTCCGGATGACCCCACGTCCTCGTCGCACACCTACTTCAAAAACATCCCCATCAGTTTCTGGTGGGCAGTGGTCACCATGACAACGCTGGGCTACGGAGACATGTATCCTAAAACGTGGCTGGGCATGATGGTGGGAGCGCTGTGTGCCTTGGCCGGTGTTCTGACCATCGCCATGCCAGTTCCCGTCATCGTCAACAACTTCGGCATGTACTACTCTCTGGCCATGGCAAAGCAGAAGCTGCCGAAAAAGAAGAAGAAACACACCCCCAATCCGGACATCCCGACCGACTCCGCGTCCTTCGGGAAGTCTGAAACAAACTCACACATAGATAGCACTCAGAGTGACACCTGCCCTCTGGCTGCGGAGGAAAACGTGAGCAGGAACCGCTCAGGTAAGACCGCCATGTTCAAGGGTCAGTTCGGCCAAAGGAGAGTAACAGGCTCTCTTACTTACCTGCCCATTTTTGAATGGACCACAGTGAGTCATTGTTTTGTAAGAGAGGGATATTGATTTGATTTTTTTCATAAAATTGACGTGATCTTGTAAAATTGATTAGATATCCATTCTACCTAGTGCTGAAAGAAATACCAGAGAAATGCTATAGAATCTAGAGAATTTTTTTATAATGTACATTTGATTACACTTTTGACTGAAGAACATTATTTCCATTGTATTTTGATGGAGTTTTCCATCTTAAAAAATCCACATGATATGGTATTAAGACCAAGAGCTTGTATTTTCTTGTCTTTTGCATTCGGAAGTTCAGAATTTCTCTGACAGAAGAATTACTCTGAGTCTCAAAGACAGCCGCACACCAATATCAAATTACTCCTCATAACATCTTTGTTAAATTAGATTTTTATGACAGAAAAATTCCAATTTCATGCAATATATTTCTGCCTTTGTCTGGGTCCTGGCAGTAAAAGCTTTGGCATTTTTGTGGTCATGTGTTTTTGTCTCCCCGTCAGACTCAAAACAGAATGGAGATGCAAATGTGACCCTTTCAGATGAGGAAGGCTGCAGCCTGACCCAGCCGCTGTCGCCCAATGAAAAGTGGTCCCTGCGGTGCTCAAGAGGGCGAGTCAAGAATAAGAAAGAGGGCACCTGCTTCCTCCTCACATCTGGAGATCACAGCATCCACGTTGGTGAGGAACATAAGCGTCAGTACACACATGAATACATGTTTAGCCTGTCTGTGACATATTGGTACCTCGTTTTATCAAATCGATACACTGTTATTTAATTGAAGCTTATTAAACCAGGATAAAATCATTAAAGATGAATAATGTTGTTATTGAGTGTCCTCACCTTACTAAATCTTTCTAATCTTTAATCTACTGCGTCCCATTTGGGGTATCATGTTTTCATTATAAAGAATAGCAGTGTTTGTTGCTGTTTGTTACCTTTCAAATTTTTGTCAAAGAAACGATTTTATACATTCACACATTAACATTTTTTAGAGATCTTTATGAGAAATTTGTATTTTCCCTCCTGAGCTGTGGTGAAAAATATTAATGTATATTCGGATCTTTATAACCATTTAAAGATTTATCTAAAGATGATTTGTTCTTCTGTGGATCACTGCTGAAGAGCCCTTAGCTTCCTCACTTTAGTTAACATGTCGATAAGCTTCCTTTGTTCGGCATGTCAGAAATGAACAGAGGAGAACGGAAAGGTTTACAAAGACATCTTTTTAATGGCGGTAAGCGAAGCTAATGTGTGAAGAAAGCTTAACTCACTAGTGCTCAAAGCTGGTGAAACCTCTTGAAACTAGAAACTGGAAACAGTTAGTACAGTGATTGTTGAGGAAAAATCCATCAAGCTGACTGACAACAGGCCCTCCTGTGTCATTTTTACCCCTTCTGATCAATGGAAAATCGATGGAAGAGCTTTGTGGCACTAATTGCTTCATCTGTCTTTGTGCATGTGTCCTCAGGTTTGTATGCGCACAGCAAAACCAAAGTTTCAAAACGTACCAAACAAGCTCCATCACATGACATTTCTGGGGTTAAATTTCTATGGAAATGTGTTTAAATAGGCTGATAATGCTTGTCTCAGTATCCATGTTTATTGTATGAACTGCTCTTTGCTCATAAGCAGAACAATGACACACTCAGAAGCTTTTGAGAGGGGGGCTTTGTGTCTGGTAGCCACAGACTCATTCCCAGCATCCTGAGCTTTGATCCCATCCTTTTTGTGGAAGAGACAGGATGTTCTCTGAGCCCTTCAACAGTGGAGTTGTTTTGCTGCACAACTGCACGTCGCCAAGGCACATTTCACTACCAGTGCTCATTAGCACACACCGTCAGAGAAAGAAAACACATCTAATAAGTGGGGCACTCAGCACAGCTCAGGTCCGGAGAGAGCACAACCCTCCCATGTGTTGTTTTTTTTTCAACAGTTCGTTACAAGGAAATTGAGCCTAAACATATTTCCTCAAAACTTTGACGATCTTGTCAGCTCATCAGATCACGTGTGAGTTTTATTAGTATAAGAGAGTGAAAAATTATCGAACGCTGAGCAAAGCCAGAACACCTCAAAACTAATCTGTGAGGCAGAGAGAAGAGGATAATTCAATCATAAGCCTCGTATCTGCCGAGCACGAGCATAACAATATCCCATTCTTTCAGGCGAGCATCACACATACACAACAACAACAAAAAAGTTCAGGTGGGCTCCCAGTGTTTCTGTTAAAAACACTGTGTGGAAAATTCCAAAATGTAAAGTGTTGTGTTTTTGTCCAGCATGGAGAGGGCTACCTCCACCAGGGTACAGCTATGAGGAAGTTAGATTAAAATAGATTATGACTCAGTGGCTCTGTTCTTTACGGCTATGCCCAAAGGGGATGGGGTTGCTGGATAATCCAAGAATTGCAGCGTAAATGGTATGGATAGTATTTCATCTAGACGGTGTGGCAGGAAACAGAGAAAAGGACAGATGGATGGAGGTCTAAAGATGCTCTCAGATGGTTATCGGTCACAGGAAATGGTCACTCACAGCGGTAGGAAGAAAATGTTGAAGTGATTAAGGTTGTCACAGGGATCCCGTTTGACACTTAGAGTTATAGGTTATACATTAGAAAACAAAGTGTATCCAAATCATAAGTGCGTTGTTTGAAATGTGCACAACAAAGTGGGGAAATGGAGCCGCAGATGGATCTGTTGATGAGCAGAGGAAATGTGCAGGTGCTTAAATGCTCACACGGGCCTCCATGTCCCACCTAGACAATTTTCAGTAATAGGTTTGCATTTGGAGTTCAAATGATGAATAATTAATTGCAGCCTTACTTTTGTACTTCCTCATTTTTCTACCGCACACATCAAGCTGCTATGCACCTGCAAATGAGCTCCGTCACTTGAGCCACAACTGGATGAGATCAGTTCATACAGTAATACACGCCTGTGCCTCTCTCTATCAACTATGCACGGAAAGTGTTCTATAAGCCATAAAAGAAATTGATAAAAGTCAATAAAGAAGCAGAACAGAACTGACTCCTTTGGACAAACAAGTCAAGAGTCTTATTCAAGATTCAGCTCCTCCCAGCTTGACTTCAGCTTGTTGATATGTCCAAAACCCCAGAGTGAACTAAACTGGGATATGCATGGAAATAACTCTTATAACTTTCTTTGCAACAAAGAATAATCATTCATCAGAGCTCTGCACATATTCAGTGTCTTATTTGGATGATGTGGGACAATCACCCTTTTCATTCTCTAATAATGAATCTCTGTCCATGTTTTGTGTCTGTGAACAGAGGGCCGCACAGACATCCTGAATACCACAGGAAACTATGCTCAGCCAGAGGTAACCACTCAGACCTGATTCACCATGAAAAGGAGAAAGGGCACGAGTTCCACTGTTTCTTTTTCTTCCCTTCTTAAATGAACTATTGACCCATTATTGTATTTCAAGATCATTGTTAATTTGTCTCTTTGTATGTCCAAACCCCTGAAAAATATCACTTCCATAGCAGATACATGCACTCATTTATATGTTACAAGACGTGTATTGCATGATCTACCATTGTATACTATATGAGTTGAACACTGCCTGCCATGTACTTTCTCATTTTACTCTGAAATTCACACTTTTTGCAGTTAACTGGAGATGGGGGTGGGATGCGGGGGGGATTATCTAGCTAACACACTGTTTGTAAATGCTTGTACATTAACAAAGTTTAACAACAGGTTTTAAAAAAAGTCAGTGGAGCAGTATTGTCTGTCTATTACATTAGCTGTATGCAGTTAATGCATCATTACTGGTTGAGTCCGGACCAAATGCAGGCTGTATTAGATTAGATGTTAGATTTTAAGAACATGTTAGTAAAAATACATACAATACAATGCCATCAGTTCCACTTGTGCCTCATGGTGAGTAATGGAGTTTAAATGTCTGGGGTATTGTAATTCGTTTAGTTTCGTACCACTTCTGGTTGTGTTGGATTTGAAAAAGTCCTCCAGCCCAGGGGGGTGTTGTTTCTTTCACTGGTGACTTATAAGATATTCCTCATGGTCTACCATAGTGGCCTTATGTTGAATAAACAAAGGAGAAGTTAATTTTATTGTCATTAACTATTTCTACACTGATCCACATTCCTGTAACTCAGTATAAGCACAGCTGTATGTATGTAGCATAGTACAATATTGTAGGTCATGAAACGGTTTTCTCCTAAATGTATAATGTATACGTACTATGAAATAGCTGGTAACCACAATATTAGGTGTTATTATTTTGATACTCCACATTTCTAACTCAAATATCTGTTTTCCTTCTTGTATATATTCCTTGTAATCAGACAATTATATTGCACATCTACCTTATATTTGCTCATAATGGATTGTCGATTTGACTGATAAATTCAAACCCTGTCAAACTGCCAGATGAGAGAGAGTACGATGATGTACCACGTTGGCATGTATTTCTATGCAGAACTTCAAATAAAATCCATTTTTTCTCTGGTGTTAAAGACAAGTTTGTGTTGTTTGTTTGTTTGTTTCCTCAATGAACTGAAGAGTTTGTCGCTGTACAACACAGATGCTCTGTAATGCTCAGTAATCTACTGTACAGATATTTATAGAAGAGGCACCAGACTGCACGTTGTGTGGGTTGGACTGGTGTAATGGCAGTCACAGCTGTGCCTCCTGCTCTCCTGTGCCTCCGTGATTATGCATCAGAGGTGTAGACGGTATACAGAACACATCTCCATGGAGATTTGGGATGACAGGCAACACTAATTAATGCTCAGCTGCCTCCATCTTCCTCTCCCGTAATTTGTCACATCCAAAGAAAAAGCCACGCTCACTTCCTCGCACGTGCATATCCTCACAGACAAAAGTGTTAACGTCAGAGCCGCAAGATTACAATTTATTTGATCCCCACGACAGACGTTTAGATAATTAGGGATGCATTTTGCTGCACGGTTTCACTGAGGAGAGGGAGAGAGGTAGCAAAATGTCAGGGTTAGTCAGAGGCATCATTGCCATATGAATAAGAAAAACACCGTGTGCTCAAGCACCTGTCCTTTACCAGTTTTTAGTGATCTGGGAGGGTGTTCAGCGATAGAGAAGCAGGGTGACGCAAATATTATGTCTCTCAAATGTTTAGTTCATCTCCAGTGAAGTGTTCAAGTGAGGAAGAACATCAACAAGAACAGAAATGCACACCCCGTCCTCATCATTTAGAAAAGTCTCCTGAGTTAAGCAAATTCACATGACTTTACATGTTGACAAATCTCGGTTTTTAGTAGATGATTTTAATTCAAATTAAAATAATTGAAATATTGTACAGTACGTCTCTTTAGGTCAGCTGTATAATTCTTACAGCAATGTTTTGCCACTGCTGCCATTCTTCATGATTCCACACTGAGGTTGTTTTTTCTGTTCTGCTGCATTCATGATAATAACCATTGATTCTTAAATTATCCTTGTAAAAGGAGAGCCAAAAGACCAAAGTAATAACATCAAATGCAAATGAAATTATTCAAATGAATTCAGGAAGAGAGTTGAAAGAAAAAGCAATAATGCAGAGGAAGGAAATAAGACTAATTACCTGAGAAATCTTAGAGCAGATGAAATAGCTCTAGGAAATCCAATGTACAGTTCAAACATGTTGCTGTGATATTGAAGATGGTAGCATGATACATGTTGACTTAACATGGTTTTAACTACTGTTGTAGCATATACACTCCCAGAAAGGAAAATTATTTTAGGTGTCCAAAGACCCTCCTGCAGCTTTACCATTGTCGTTTGTCAATTAAGTACTGGGGGACACAAATTTAACTTTAAGTTGAACTAAAAGTACAAATATGTGCCTTGGAGCCTAGTTATTAGCCATATAAGCTACATGAGTAAAAACTACCTAAGAAGAGATGGATGTGTTATGCCCCTATTTTTGAGAGTATGGAGAAAATATAAACGCTTGTAAAGATTTTTTAAGCATTTGAAACACAAAGATAAAAGTTGAAATCTCACCTTTTTATTACTTCTGAATGATTTTCTGTTACTTCCACTCTGAAGGACTTTGAATTTTCCTCTACCTGTAGTCCTGTTGCTTTTGCACAATGAGGAATTGTTTTGCCTGTCTATGTTTGAGTCTTCATCTCTCTTTGTTTTAAGTTTTTCTTTGTGGTTGACTTCAGTAATTAAGTTTTCTTCCTGTAAGCTCAAACTCTAAATGTATTACAAAGGATTAAGCGTAAACGTTTTGATTCAGGATGACATTCTTGAGACTCTGTGTCCTCGAATTTTGAAAGAGCTGTTCGGGAATCATGAGACATCTTTGGACTTGAACCCCGCTGAGAGTCATTGTGCGCACAAGATTTCACATTTGCCAGAGTTGTAACTGACTGGAAATGAACACTGTGCTATGGTAAACTCACTGTATCAATGCCCATTGATGTCAAAACCAAATTTAAAGGCGGTCCAACTAAATATTATGGCTTTTTTTCTGTCTGTGGTTTTGGCTGGGTGGTATATAGCTGTTGTGATGGTATTAGGAAGGAATGTTCAGTAAGGATTTCAGCTTATCATGAAATAACAGACATTCAGTAACTGCTGCCAAAATCAAAACTACTGTTCAGGAGAAGTTGCATACAGCACTATAGATTATACTTTGTTTGCATTGACTGATGGAATGTAAAGTTTTACAAAGTAATGGAGCACAAGCCAAAAGGACTGGGAAACAAAAGCTCTGATGAGAATCTGTACATCATTACAGCTGATAAAAGGAGTTCATACAAACAATTCCTACTTGGCCCATTGTGTTCTTAGTTCTTTAATGAGTGCAACTAAGTGGGGCATGTAGTTTAAGATAATAGAACTACACACATTAGATAGGAGGACGGTTGGTATGTTTTTTAGTGAACAAAGCTGAACCAAACCAATGGCTTTCTGTATGTGGAAGGAAAACAAAGATTTATCTTAAGATTTATTTTGGAAAAATAAAACGTTGAAAAACAGATGCCCCCCATCCCTGCAACATTCCCACGAATAAATTGTATAAAAAGTGGATGGATTTCTATTTTTGTATTCACACTACCTAAGATAATACAGCAACTGAATTAAAAAAGTGTGTAACAATCATTCAGGTTGACATTTCAACAATTTAAAGGAGAATTCAAACTTCAGCTTATTGTAAAAAAAAAAAAAATGTTGCGTGTAAATCTTTCCATTCACATGAAACACAAATGATCCTCATAACACCAGGAACAACATAATAACTGTCCAGCTGGATTTTCCACTTTGGCTGAATGCTTTATTTTGCTAGTTTTATGAGCACAGATCAGGCATCGTGGCGGTAGCTCACAGTGTTCCACACCTGAATGCTTCCGTTAGTGAAGCCGTGTCACCTGCTGAGTGGAGCCCAGAGGAATGATGACAGAAAGATCCATGGGGACGTGATTCATAAAAGCAAGATGAGCACAGGCAGAGGAGAAAGAGTCAGAGCTGGAGGCTGAGAGAAGAAATCTGTCAGGGCCTGTCCTGTCATCCCTGATTACTCCCTTTTATTGTTTCCCCTCATTCCCTGTTTTACCCCCCTCCCCCCCTCTGTTGAAGGTTGTCATGACAATAGTGAACACAGTTTCCATGGTGAAGGGTTTAGCCAGAGCCATTTCGCTGTTTGATTCACTGGTGTAGCCTTTTGGAAAATGAGCCACCTATCTTGACTCATCTTGTCTGGTGACATAACACATTTCTATTCATCTACGGCTCAGATCTATTAATCTATGGCTGCATGAGGATGTAAATCAGAGCTATGATGGAGTCATAAGACATAATGCATTTTAATGTTGTGGTCTAAAACCTCAGAAGCATTTAGGACGTTATTTTTTTTTTACAGCTTTCAGAGCTGTTTTGTCTCTTTGCATTTTGGTAATCTTGGCTCTAAAGGAATGTAAACTAACATATAGAAACACAAAAAGATAAAGCACAACACAATAATAGAAAAAAAAAATCCAGCCTTTGAGGGGTGTTATGGTATGATGATTCTTTCCCTGACAGATGCCTAAAGGGAATCCACCCCACCATAAGCATCACGTGTTAAGCAAAAGGCAACTCTCTTCTTGGCCACTAATGGACAGCACTCCCTGTTCTCTGGTGAACTTCTGCTCCCCCCCCCCACCTCTCTCTAAATGTCCAGGAACAAACCTTGTCTATGTTCCGTAACACACAACACTCAACGCCTCAGTAAGAAGAGACTACGTTGCAGTTTATTCCAATTCCTATATATTTGAATCCTGGCTGACAGACTTTCAAGTGTTGTCAAGGCTCATCTTACAGTCAGAAAAGATGAGAATGATGTCTGATGACAGGCAATATTTGCGACTAAGTTTACTTCAGCTTCGAGGGAAGTGTATGATACAATGACACAGGAGCCGTTTCGTCAATCATTCATCTTTTGTGACAGAAACAATAAGGGAAAAGTCTGATCCATGACATTTCTGCAAACCCCTGCAGATTTCAAACACTACAGTCTCTCTGCAACACTCACAACAAACCAAGAGCTTATCAGCTGTTTTTCATTATGTTTTCATTCAAAGGAAGGATTTAATTTACCTTTTAGAATTTTTTCAATGTTATTTTGGGAAACAATGTAGTTCCTCTTCAAGAATTAATGAGAAATCCAGCTCAATTAAATTTTCTTGCATTTCATACAACATCAGCAGCTGACGGACGACTCAGAGTCTTCTGTTTCATCTGTGAGAAATACAATAGCCCAATGGTGGCTGCTTGGTGAGGATATATTATTGTATTGTATTATTATTTTAGATATGTCTATAAGGGAACACAGTTTAGAGGTAAAACATACATCCTGAAAAAATCCAAAACCCATGGGGTCTTCATTTTTTTTTCACTTAAGCTTCTAACATAAGAACTGAATGTGAATGCCTGAGGTTGCGAATAATTGGTCATTTTTCCCTTGACTGTGCAGATGCTGGTGTGCATCCACATTTTAATGACCGTCTAAAGTACAGCTCGCCAGTCAGTCGTAAGGTCATGTAGCAGAGCTGCTTGTTAGTTCTGATATATGGAAGGAAAGTAGCAGAAAATTATGTCTGGATTTATAACACATGACATCTTGATTTCATATCATTCAGGCAACTAGATAGGAATTCCACAGATATTAACAGTTAAAATGTAAATAAAGATATGAATGAAACCTGCTGATCTTATGTAGCTTTACATTTTTTATTTAGTTTATCAAAGGGAGAAAAAAAAATTAATGAAATGTGCCCACATACACTTTTGTGAGCATTTGATCCTGTAACTGATCTGGAAGTGGTTTGTGTTTAAATGATAAACAGGGATTTGTGCCAAACATCCACTACCGAAGTCAGGTAGAAAAAAAAAGTTAATGAACTCTGGATAGAGTGACTGCTGCATAGCTTGCAGTTTTTAAATGATTTTTTTTTTTTTACTACCATTTAATTCATGGTTCTGTTGATTAGATTCCTTTAAGAGGGAAATGTCTTCTCTAAAAGCTTGACCATTATGTCTCAAGATAGGCAGGAAATAAAACAACCATTAGTATGTGCATTTGCTTCTGTAGCATGCTCTGTAAAGTCTCTGAAATACTAAGTCCATTTCAATGCATCTCTCAGTCCAATTCTGAAGACATCATTTGAAGATGGAAAGCAGTAGTGAACAGCTGGCCCGTCTTGGTAGTTAGCGCTCCAATCACTTCTCTCAAAACCGCTTTCTAAAGTGTGAAAGTAATACTTTCCACTGGTTGCACAGCACAGGTTGCACAACCATCCTTTGCTCTCCAGTGTGTCATTTCTTAAGCGCGTTGACGTCTGCTTTAATCTGCACTCAACCAGGAGTTAGAGAACGTCAACAGTCAGTGGCCTATGCTCTGCTGACGGTCTGCTTCAGAGCCGCACTCCAGCAGAAAGTCTGAATGGCTCCAATTACCCCGTTTGACGTGGTCAGTGCACTTTAAATGCCAAATGCATTTATGACTACACCTTCCCCACCCTCTACCAGGTAGGAATGCAACCATTAAGGCTCCAGCATTGGTCATCAAGGAGTCATAGTGCTACATTCAACTTCTCAGTGTTCAGTGCGTTGTCTTTAAATATTGATATTCTTATCTATTGTCTAATTGCAGTCAGGAAAACTGATTGCTTGTGGGTGGATTTTATAACCTCAAGATAGGTTTTAGAAGACCCTCAGGGATTCGGGGAAATAAAGGCATGTTCAGGAAGGCATTGTGCTGGTGTTTTAACAGGTGGAGGATCATGTTGTAGACATCCTGTTCACCATCTAATTGGAGAAATGGATACGAATAATGATATTTGCTGTAAATCATTATGAAAGTATGTAAAAGAAATTGAAAAAATTAATTTGACTAAATCCTTATTTGTATGCTATAAGGACATAATAACTAGACACTGGTGTGGTATGTCAAGTGAAAGAAGTATACAAAGACACATGAGACACATGAGAGGTGACACAATATGGTGCAAATATCCAATAAGCTGAGTATCTTATAATGAAATACAGTCACATTTAGTAGAACATTTGGATTTGTATCAAGAGACTCAGATATTTCAGATACTTTACTAAATAGAAGGGCAACCAACATCACTATCCATGGAAGAACCATTTTAAAAAGATACTTTTAACTCCAAGCAAATAATGACAGACTTGAAAATATTACAATCTGTTTCCACTAAATATTTTTGTGCTTGGTTCATCAAACCCCAACACCCTTTGCAAATCTGAAGGTGTGTTCACACGTGAGCTCTTGTGAGATTAAAAATAGGCCTCTGATCTCTCCCTGATTCCTGACAAGAAAAGTTAGAAACTTCTTTAAACAAGCAGTCAATAACATTTTGATCCTGTGTCTGTCTCATCATGGATATCCATGATGCTGAAAAACTTGGAGGTTAAAGGTCAGAAAAGTTTTCTTGTCAGTATGTGGCTTATGCAGGTGTCTTTGATTGGTGATCGTGTCATTTTACATATGGTAACAATGCTAGCTTGAACAGTCAGACTAAATCTTTTGACCAGCCCATAAGATGGGGATGTAGAAGGATTTTTTACAGAATACAATTTCTGGGGATACCCAGCAAAGTGACAAAGCAGCAACATGAACCATTTACTTAATTACATTACATGAAAATATGTGTTACAAATACAATTACCTCTATGGAAAATGTTTTTTACACTGTCTTTATGGTATATACTGATCAGCTTTGGCAGGTCAGTTCAAAAGCCACCAAAATACAGTATCTTTTTTTTTTGGTTCTCTCTTTTCCTTTTATTCCAGCTGGTCTGACAAGACTAAAACATTCTGTGAGGCATCGTCAGCAATAAGATTTACTGTAGACATCAAACAATAAAGATAGTTTACAGCTTAAGCTTAAATCAATTTTAGAAATCAATAAGTCATCCTCATCAACAATGGCAAAACTAGGAAAATCACAATATCTCCAGCCTTCCCTTTCATAGAGTGGGATGTGCCCTCTATAGCTCTGTTCACTATTTACATAAAGTTAATAAATATATTCCATACAGATGTTTAACTTTGACTATATCTTAAATTCTATAATGTACATGCAACGCTGAATTGAATATTTCTCCACCCTCAGAATATTGTTGTAATGATGATATGGAATAGAATATTGTAGTTTTTGTCAAGATCTGAATGAGCAGATCTGAATGATGCTGAACGCTGTCATCTCTCTATGTAGAGTTGGTATGTTCTTCCCATGAATTAGATCAGAGCAGTCTGAAGTCTGAGATATTGGTTCACAAAATTAGCATTCACGTGTTCAGTATGTGACAGGGTGGAAGGAAAAGCCAAACACATTCCCTTTAACAAAACGCGATTGACACCAGGATCACAATATTAACTTTGGAAACTTAAAATTTCTGCCAGGTGCGGTAGGAAAATAATGAAACTGATCCAGGCTCATTTCTGAAGATCTGGCCACCAGCTGTCAGATCTCTCCCTCTCAACCAAGTTGAGGTTTCCATCTGTTCAACAGATTAGCCTTTGCTGTGAATGAATAATGTGATTGCAATTAATTGCCCAATTTGAGTATCACGAACCACCAGTCAGCATTTAAGTCTGGAAGCTAAAGAGATCATTACACCAAATGGACAGTTTTAAACATCTGCTGTTTACTGACTGTTCTCCTGTTCTCCTGTCTTCTTTTTTTTTTCAGTAAAACAATTCAGTGTGTCTGTGACTCAGCTTTCATGGCACAGATTCATGTGAAAGCTCAGTTTTGACCACAGGAGCCCCTTGAAATGCACTCTTTGTATACAAGATGTAAATTCAATCCTTATTGTACTACAGTGTTTTTTTCTTATTATATAACATTGTAGATTTTACTTTAATCTTTATAGAGCCATAGCGGGCTTAGACTTGAAACATTTTATTTTAGTCTTGGAAACGAATCTCATGTCGTTTGACTTGTATTGTGGATGAAGACAGCAGTTAAAGAATCCGTGTGAGAACACGACTGATGCGTCTCTACCCATTCAAACTATTGTGCTCAAAAAGTCCTGCTCCAGGTGCGAAACGTCTTCAGAGAAAAAGTATTTTCTTGGTAAGGGTGGCAGAGTTATGGTAAAATAGCAAGTATTGCTTTGCGTGTATGTGCTTTTATCAGATGAACATCTATACAACGGCTGTTTACAGACCATTTCCATCATGCATTTGCAAGATGAAGTTGATGCAGTGCATTTCTGCATGTAGTGCGTTACTCTGTGTTGGGAAATGGTTTGTTTACAGGATGTGGAGCTGAAAGAAGCTCTTCTTCCAAGCTTCTCCAGCCAATCCATACAGGAAGTATGACGCCAAATCAGGGGGAGGGGCCCGACCCAGCTGTCCGGAAGGCAGGGCACACCCTATACAGGTTGCCAGTCAGCTTGACATTTACACATGAAATGTGTGACTGAACCCGGCATAGCATCAACAACTCATGTCCAGCATCAATTAAGGCAACTTAATTCTAAGGATTCCATTATGTCCTACAGGAAGGAAGTGGCATTTTATTCTGCAATGAGAAAAAAAAACAGACTGAATGCGTTAAACAGAAAAAAGGAAAGGTTCTACTAAATGTGTCTTTGTGTGACTTACATGCCTGAATCGTCTGTGAAAATCTGATGGATATTTCAGCTCAAAAAGGTTGAAGACGTACTGTCTCTGACAGCAAATAACAGGTCTCTGTGTTTGGTGGGTATGTGCTGCCATGACTGATGCCCCGTTTGTGCCAGTGCTGAAATATTTCCCTTTATGGCGACTTGGTTAACCAGCCTGCATATGTTATAAACCACTGTGGATTTTAGTTGTGGGAAAAGATTTAACATAAAGAACATGAGTCAATTTTGCAACACACCACCCATACATCATGGGTAGACCACAGAAAGAAGAACAAACACACAAACAGGTCATGATCAGCCTTTTTCAGCCAAAATGGGATGGTTATCGCGAGCCATAACATATACTGCCAGATGTCACACACACTGGGGGTAAAGACACATAACCACTGTGCAGATACTATATGGGACGAAGTTATTGATTTAGATACCAGGAAAATCCTTTCCTTTTACCTCTAAAAGTCATGGCTGAACTTTTCAAAAGTCGCATATATCGCTCATCCCTGCTGAAAAGAACAGTAATGTCAAAGTTTCTTCTGATCCACAGGGTTCATTCTACACCATAATTTCCCTTTGAGATAAATCTAGCATTTTGGTTAAAGGCTTTAATGATATCAATCTTTATCATAACAAAACATAATTTGTGCCATTTAAATCTGTAGAGGCTAAACAAAACTATATGGGGGATTGAAACCTGTGAAGTCAGAATATTGATGAAATACTTACAAGTTCCAAATAAATCACAATAAACGAGACAAACAACATTGTCAGTTTCATAAAAGTGGTTGTTTTAATATCTTTTTCTCTCTATTGTGTTTGTACAATGTATCAGTATGTTTGTCTCATTGTTATTGTCAAACCTTTTATCCTTTTATTGTGTTGCCAGTTTTGTGCTGGAGGTCCTCATAGTTCCAGTGAGAAACACAGAGAAGAGATTGCTTATACGTTAGTGGTCCCAGTCCACTACACACAACATTGGATTTCATGTACTGGTTTAGGTCAGCAGCACACAACACTGAGAGAGGAGAAATACACACAACAAAACACTAAAAACCCACGTGTACTATACTTTATAGACATACAGACACACACATACCCAAACACACAAGCACTCACTTATTTCTATTGAGAATAACCACGCACGAACACCAACAGACACCAAAATAACATTACTGACGGTACAAAAATCAAAAAATATCTGAAAATATACAATTATTATTTACAGCTCAAGTATACACCCCGTTACTCTCACTATAGATACTCAGTGTCAATTTATCAGAATATACATCAATATGTACAGATAAGGTACATTTTCATAAATACTTTAAATATAACTGTTGTTGCTCACATAAAGACTATTTGCACAATTAAATAAATTCACTGTTACTCTATTTTGTCAGGTTTATCTCAGCGATTGAACTGAGATCACCACTTGAAGTTGCCTGCAGCACAGCTAACACATGAACAGGACAAGCAGACCCTGGAGTTGAAGTCTTGGTCTTCAATCATTAAATCAAAGCAGCTTTTCACTTTTTGGGAGGAGATTTGGGGATATTAGTTGTTTGCTGACAATAGTCTCTGTGCTTTAATGTGCTCTAACCCTAACCTGGAGGGTGCCTTTATTCAGGTTTTGTGCTATTTGTATTCAGTATCTCATGCATGATTTTACAAAGATCTAAAAACTTTAGCATGCTGAATTTTATCCCGTGTGAATATTTAAATCTGTAGCATGAAGACATAAAACAGCTTGTCTGCACTGTGTAATTTCTTTTTTTGTGCTTTTGTGTTCAAAGCATATTCTTTGACTGCTACGGAAAATACATATATCATAAAAAATGCAAATATCTATGAAAACTTGTTAAATAAGACCATCAATACTTCAATAGCTTCAATAAAAACAGTTAGATGGTTTGAAGAGTTTCATGACGAGGTTTCAGCCATTGTGGGACTACCTACGATACATAAAACAAAACTTAATCTACTTATAGGTAGCAGCGTGTCAGAGAAGTGTAATAAATCGGAGAAGAGATTTTTTAAACAAAAATCAACATATAAATACGGGATGGTGATTGATTTTTAAAACATCTGACAGTTACCAAGCAACTACAATGAATGACAGAAAATATTAGTATTGATATGTTGATGCTTCATCATACATTTATGTCTTGTGCCTTTCAGGTAAACTCATTCCTCTTTTTTGTGAACAAATATATGTATTCCTCTATCATTATTATGTTTGCTTGAATGTGTGCTTCACAAACAACTCCAGGGTCTTTAACTAATTAAAGTGCACAGGTGAATGAGACAAAACAATTGGTCCAAACTACCTATGTAATAATCTCACATTCCAAAATACCAACTAAAATAAGGCATATAGACAACACAGATGCTCCTCAGGCACCAAACATAGTGACCAACTGTGCTATACACTAGACTTCTTCAGTCTCAAGTACTGGTGCTGTCTCAAGGAGGGGCCACGAGAAGGAGAGTGTGTCACCGGTCCCTCTGCTGGCCAGCAGAGACACTCTGTGGTTAAAACCATGTATCACCACTTATTCCAGACATCAACATCACGGTACATTTCCACATTATTCCCCCATACACTGCCATACAAGATTACACATAAAAAAGTTGTTTTTCACAAACCTTGGACCCCAAAAGACATTAAAGTGAATTTTGTAGTGCTGATGATACGGACGTGTTCTAAAAATTGGCCACAAAGTGAGGAATGTACAACAATTAAACCTGGACGTCGTCCTCTATTGGACAAAGCATGACTGATCCACAGCGCGGAATGGCAGTGAACCACTTGTTTAGTGCACTGGAACAACGTTGGAGAGATTTTTGTGGAGCATCAACAGATGTGCAGGTGGAGCAGACAAAGCAAGGTGTCCACTCTGCTCCTCCTCCACATCAGAAGAGAATCTGTTTCTATGGTGCGTTGCCACGGCTTCCCCTGGGTAACACGGCTATTTTTAAACAGACAGGGTCACCGGGAGCTCTTGTTCAGCAACAGACAACCCAGTGACATGCACATCTGAGTGTACACAAAGACAAACTCACATTTCCTGCTCTGTCTGCCTCCCCATCGCCGATACAGACAAGTGTGAAGCCGCCTGCTGATCAAACACGAGCTGCTCGGCTCATATCTGCTCTTGCGTCGCAGCTGCTTCCCATCTAAGGCATTCATTAAAACACCTGATTAAAGTGACTGAATTAAATGCAAATGGACCACTGCAGCTGGAACGACACAGACAACAATGTGGCGCTTTCCCCAGAGCCTTTCGTGTCGACGAAAAACGTTCAAAAGAAAAGTGCGCACCAGTGTTAAGGCTCAGAGATGCTCTAATGATGCCAGGCGACTGTGCTTCTGTGTTTGTGGAATGAAGAGGAACAAAGCTGCCAACCATTTTGGACAATTGCATGACTTATGGTGATGTCTCAAACTATTGCACGACATATATGTACATTATCCTACACTACTGGGAAAATAGAGATAGAAGGAGATCCACAGTTTTGTGAGAACTCTACTGTGACTGACTGTTATTGCTGATGCATCATAGGCACAATAAACGTAAAGATAGAATCTGCTTGTAACACTATCAGAAACACTTACTACATACTGTTATGGATGTATTTGTTACCTATTTCTCTTGAGAAATTCCGACAAGAGTCAGTGTTTTTTTCTGAGTCTCCTTCCATTCTATCCCGACAATTAACAATCCTATCCAAGTTAAACCAGCAGGAGAACTGGTAAACTGGTAAACAGGTGAGATTACAGTTCAGTACAATGCAAATTAAAAATAAAAGAAGCATTACACACTCCTTAACATCTACCAGAGTTTATAATCTAAGCCCTCAGTGGCCCTTTCTATCCTGCATTTATCATCTCTGCCTCTGTGGAAGAGGTCGTTACAGTCCCATGATCCCTTCCTCACAGCCAGAATTCAATGGCAGTCACCAGCATTGTTTCTGCAGCAGGCAAGAAGGAAGGGACCACGGGCTCATGAGCTTTGGGGCAGAAAAGTGGGCTGGAGGAGTTTAGCTCTGGGGTTAAGGTGTGCTAAATGCTGCGTGTGACTTCGGTCACCCCGGCCCACCTTCAAGCTGGTTGGTAGTTTAATGGATGGGCAGATGGACGAGCCTAACCGATCATAGCTCAGACTCAGGGGAGCCGATGTTCTGGTAGCCCGTCTTGGTACTGGTGCCATAGTTAGTGTTGGTCATCTCCTGAGTGCCGCCAGGCCCCAGGTAGGCGCGGTGGGCAGGCATGGGGGAGGGAGCCGCACTGGGGTTCTTGCTGAGGATGAAGCGCTGCTCGTCCTGCTCTTCCAGGTTGGAGATGTCCTTCATCATACCTTTGCGGTATGACACGGACAGCTTGTTGGAGCCATCGGAGATCAAGTTGAAGTGGCGGACGATGAAGACGATGGGTAGGGGCAGCATGGCAACCACAATGAGGGAATATGCCATAGCTAAAGCCCAGGGAGGGTAGCTGTGGAAACTCTCCGACCCCTTAAACCGGAAAGTGTGCAGGAATACCACAGTGTCAAAAAAGAAAGAAAGAAAGAAAGCAGGGAAAAGCAGATAAAGCAGAGAAATTGAGTTATATTATAAGCAGTTTTGAACAGCAAGCATTTTCAGAAACGATGAGAAAATGGTTAATAAAGAGCCTGTATGTCTGGTAACGACTTCATCCTATTTTAACATCCTCCAGACAATTAAATTCTATTTGTATCACACACACAAACATTGCAAAGAGAAACTGACCTCTGCCTCAACCCAGGCATTATATCCTGCAGGACTGACCGCCATCTCAATAACCGTTGCAATGATGAGCACAATCAAGACAGCGGGTGACACATATCTCCACATGTAGTAATAGAAGGAATACGGCCTGAAACCAAGCATGTCCTCCAGATCCTGCATGAACCTGCAGACAAAAAAGTAGAGGGGCTGAAACAGGAAAAGCAGTCATCTTTTTATATTTTATTTGTGTTAACTTTTAATGTTTGCGTTTTGTTTTAAAGGACAAACCAAAACATTAGCTAGCATCATCACTCAGTGTCACAGAGTGATGTGATGAGTGTGGTGGATGAGCCTTGGCAGCTGTTTACAGATGCAGCTTAGACAGGATGCTGATAGTCTTCACATTTGCATTTCACTGGAAATGGAAATTCTCCTGACAGATAAGTACAGGTAGCTGCTTATCTATCAAATAGACCGTGACAAACAGTCGACTGAACCCTGTTGTTGACAACTGGCACATTCACAAAGTTCTAGCAGTACTCTGCAGCCACCATCAGCTCATGTTCCAGACTGCATGTCGATCCACAAATGCACTGTTCCCACACTCGTGCACAAATGCACGTTCACAGGCAGTGAAGTTACCTCTTGGTGCCATAGATCCAGGCCACAGAGACGTTCTCCAGGATTACCACCACAGTGAGAGGCAAACCAGCCGAGTAGTCATCAAACATGGTGACAAAATAATTCCCAGAGCGCTGCACAAACAGCAGCCCCAACAGGAAGGCTATGATGCAGCAAACCACTGCAGGGAAAAGGAGGAAACATGCAGTCAGAATCTGCACACAGCCTGGCTTTAACAGGGGCATCACCTGAAATCCAGAACCAGGACTTACCACACAGGATCTCCTTACGGATTTTGAAAGCATCCAGAATTGGTGTGGTGATGCCGGTCATGGTGCCGATCATGCTTCCCAGGCCCAAATTGATCAGCATGAAGAAGAACATGACCGACCAGAAAGGACTGGCAGGGAAGTGGGTCATGGCCTCTGTGAAGGCGATAAAGGCCAGACCGGTGCCCTGAACGGCCTGGAAGATGGAAAGAAGGAGGTAGAGATGAGTCACAGATGGCTCATGATAACCAACGAGCAGATGGAAATAAATAATCCTATGTGGAGGGACACCCACTAGTCCTCTATCGAGAGCTTCATAAATTATAAAAAGCAGTCCTGGAGGTTATGAATTCATAAAGATATACTTTGAGTCAGATGGTAGATCACACTAAGATAAAAATTTCCCCCAAATAAAGGGCTAAAAATATAAATGGTATGAGATGCTTATGAATAACTTCTCTATAACTGCACATATTTTCTGGACATACGTATAAATAAATGTATTATTTTTTAGGCGACCTTGTTGAGTTCATCCTCCAGCAAACAGGCATCCAGCCCTAGCTGGTCAAAGGTGTCCTCCTTTACTGTCTTTATGACTCCGTACATCTCTTGGTAGTCCTGTGCAGACAGGTGGGAGAAGTTGATGTGAGGAGGGATGAGCTCTTTGCTCAGCACACCCATGTTGACGAAACCCAGAATCTTCTCTGCATTCCTGGACGATTAGAGATATGAAGAAGAGAGACTGTGGTTTGAAAAAACAAAGTGGCCAAAGTGAGGTAAATCGAATGCATTTGATACAGAAAGAAGTACTCACTCCACGACACACTTTTCATTCATGACATTGGCTTTGAACCCCAGAACAGCAAACACAACTAAAGTGGCTAAGATGGAGGTGACAAAGTTGATGATGGAAACCAGCGTAGCGTCGAAGTGGCAGTTGTTGTCGCGCTTATTGTAGCTGGAGAAAGCAATGACTCCTCCAAAGCCCAGGCCCAGCGCAAAGAAGACCTGTGTGGCTGCTTCCCTCCACACCTGCGGCTCCAGCATTTTTTCCAGCTGGTGGGAGGAATAAGGAGAGAACGCGGAGGATTAGTGAAGATTAGTGAGAATAATGCCCAATTTCTTCTTATAAACACCCTCAACACAAACATCTCATACATGTTCTTTTTTCAGTCCTCTAAAGGAGGTCACCTGGACAGAAACACTGAACCTGATTATGTTCTTTTGTTTAAGCAGCACGGCCTTTGACAGTTTCAAAAGATCAGTTTTTCTTCTTGTTTGATTAGAAATTTCCCATTTATGTTCAGTTAGTTTCTCACTTACTGATCATTTTTGGTAACAACTTGGGACCTTAACTACCTACTGTATTTGGATGAAAAATTACATTTCCCATTACAGGGTAAACAAAGTCATTTTGGGTATATTTGTATTACCAGTGAAACTATAAAAATCAAGCACAAAATCAAAAAACAAATGCACTTTAATAGACATTTCCCATCCAGCATACATTGGCTTTGATGCTTATTTCACTTTATACTTTAGCTAAAAAAACATTATTTTTTCCCCATTTTTCCTGAAAATATTGATTTCAGCAAAATAAAATATTACTCAATATTTGTTTAATCTTTTAACAATGAAACTAAAATTATATTTGCAACCTATTAACCTAAAGACAATTAATGCTACAGTTGTCTTGTCTATTCTAAAATGAACATTTTTGGAGAGAAATAGATTAATTTTGCTTGACCAAAAGCTTAAATGTTAATCATGCCCATATATTTTTTAAGTTGTAGTTTTAAGTTTCTACCCTATTGGGAATAAGCAAAATAGACAATGTTTATGTGGCAACACTTGTGAGGACATACATTCACCACAAGAGGGAGACATAATCCACAACTTGATGATCTTGGCGACAATTGCGTGGTCACGTAGCCATTGAAAAGGTCACAACCATTTCCATTGAAGGGTTAGCTGAAAATTATTCCTTGATCTCAAATATACTATATCCTTCATACATAGTTTTGGGTTAAGGGAAGATATTTTGATAGGGCGAAAGTGTCACTGTGTCATTTGCGGGCTTCACAGTCAGAGGAGTGTTCTTATCACAACCATCTGTTCTAAAATGTGGTGAATTGATCTATTATTTGCATTTCAGACCACCTCCTTCTTTTCTAACTCCACCCTCTTACCTTTGGGGTGAACATATGAGCAATGCCGTCCACGGCTCCCTTCATCATCAGACCTCTCACCAGGAAACAGAAGAGCACCACATACGGGAAGAGAGAGCTGAAGTACATCACCTATGAGAGGGAGACAAAGTCAAGCACATTTCACAGTGTTGCCATGACTACGCTTTCTAAGATCTCACACATGGAGGGAGAAGTGCACATTTCCACACTTGCACATCCTGGATGAGTCCCAACACACTGTTTCGTTTGCTCTACACTGAATCTGTGGAGTCTTCCCAAATACCCCCCAAAAAAAGTCTTGAGGCCAAAAATGTTTTCATTACAGAAGATCAGGGACAGACTATGATATCTGGATCACTGACTTTAGTGTTTAAATAACCGTGTCTGGCCTTGGCAAGGAGCTTTGTGTTGTGAATTGTCCTGTTAAGGTTGTGGGCTGGATGTTGTGCTGTGGTATACTGTATGACTCACTCTCTGGATCCAGATAACTAGATGCTGTTGCAGCTCATGCCAAAGTGAGAATTTTCCATTTACATCCTGAACCAGTTATGTCTTGGTCCGCTTAAAGCTTATTAATGCTGCATGTCCCTCTCTTCCATTATACAGCTGGGATGCAAAAATACACTGATGCTGATGACAAGCTTAGCTTTTTACCTTTGTCTAAAAGGAAGAAGAATACCCAGCACTGAGAGGGGTGAATCAGTGGTTATAAATCGAAAATTGAACACCACTGACGAAAAGCTGATTTATCTTTCTACTGACTCTTTTTTTGTGTAGAACTAACTGCAGCTGCACCAGTGAAACAACACCGCACCTTTCCAGAAGACTGGATTCCCTTGATGACTGCAAGGCAGACCAGGATCCACGCCACCAGCAGGGACAGGGTCATTCTCCAGTTCAGGCCGCCAGTGTCATCGATACTGCTGGTGATATTAAGAGTCTGGCGGTACCAGAAGTAAGTGGTGGCTGAGCTCTTCTCGCACTCTGGTTCCACAACTACATAAGAAACAAGACAAAGGAGAAAAAATGTGAATGGAAACTACATTTCTGACAGCACACATAAAGGTACAAGTTAGCAAGATTCAAAGGATGGAACACCAGCATAAATAACAATAACAATATATAAAATTATGATGATTATCGCTGTTAACAAGTTATCCAAGAAATGTGAGTGTGCAGAGTATCACAGCATTTTACAATCACAACAGAATATTTAATGTTTTACAGTTTTCAACCTCACGAAAAGTTACGTTCAATTCCGCTGCATTTTCTGCAGCATGAATTTAAATTAGAAACATATTGGACTGTTCTGCTCGGTCATGTTAATGAAAGCCGATGCCCCTTACCGGGCCAGAATCCACATGTGCTCCCGCTATGAACTACCAGCTGCCAGCCATTCGAGGTACTGACAGTCATAACATCTGACAAGCCTCTCTAACGGATCTGTCCCACGTGATGAGGTGCTGGGCCAGTCCAGCCAAAGAAACAGCACTAATACCTCAACCTTTAGCCTGCAGCTTAATGCTGTTTGCTGTATGGGATTTTTTTACTTTTCCTAATCTATAGTGTCTTACACTAAGTAAGCATCAATCATATGGAGACTTATTTGAAACTCTGCATTAACATTAGGCAGCACAGTCTGCCATTGTTCAGTGTATTGAGCTGGTGACTCACTGGCTTGGGATCCATTTCTCTGGAAGGGGCATTCAGCCCAAGGTAGCGGATACTGAAAAGACTGGAAGAAATAGAAGATGCTCCAGCCAATGATCACGTTGTAATAGAGCCCTACAAAGCCACAAACCTGGGGAGAGGTGAGAGAAAACAGCAATGCTTAATAATTGCACAAACAAACGCAACACAGGGGGGGGGGGGGGGGCAAACAGTATGCATCTTGGGAAGGTGAACGCCTCCTCTTGAGTCAGGCCGCTGACACTGAGCACACAGCCCAAGACAGAGCGAGTATGAATTATTGAGCTGTTTGCTCTTAGCAACCTGGGCTGTGGTCCTCAAAGAGAGGGTATTTATAGCTGCTGAAGCTCTATCTGCCACATCTGAGCTGCCACACGCCTCATTGCCCCTGGTCAGGACTATCCATCCCCTGCTTTATGTTGGATTGATTGGATTAGCGTGGGGATGACTGGCACATAGAACGTCTGACACAACAGATCACAGGCTGACCAGCTCAGCTGCTGACTGGCTGTGTTTTTACGCTGCTGACATGACGGGTCACCACTCCAGATGATGATGGGGACAGGCTGCGACAGTAATGTACGTTAGTCTTTGCATGCTGCTTGCTTTCAAGCAAAATACAAGCAGGGCGACGCGTACACACAGGCACGTTCTACCCCAGACAGATTACTGAACACTGCATTTCTGACCTGAAAGGAAATTGAGAACTCCCATCATAAACTACTAATAATAGATTTCTAAAGCATTTAGAGATCGGTAATAAACCAGCAAAATAAGTTATAGCAATTTCATAAAGACATTCAAAAATGTATGAGGATTATGAATATCTGTATTTGAGCTGAGGGTATGAACTTAAGCTGATGCTCTGACTTTCGTTCAGATGTGACCATACGGAGGACATTTGTGGTTTTGATTGAAAGGTTTCACAAACTGGGTGGATCGCTATAAATAGAGGTTTGCGTTTGTGTTCCTGACAGGATATATTTGCGTAATTTCTCGTCCAAGGCCATCTTTGATCATTTTCATGTTCCTCTGCACAGCATTTCAGGGCTTAAAACTGACATTAGTATTCTCAGAAGACCCACTCAGTGCACATTAGCAAAAATTGCTCTATTAAAATGTGTTACCATTCTCAAAGGGAGCAGGTTTGCAATGTGATAAAAGCTTTTAGCTTTTAAGGCACACGACACAGAACCACAGTGGACTACCAACCACAGCTAAGGATTAGGACACGATGATAACACAATATTATCAGGTCTTAATAATAAGACATAATCACATAATAATATGATTATGTCTTATTATTATGTCTTATTTAAAGTTGTATTGACTAATTTATAATATTCTTGGTACCCTGGACCACCTACCATCAGACTGGAGACTCCGATGCCCCCCAACTGTGGGTAGACATAATTCCACACCCCAATGCTGCCACGCCTGATCCTCTGACCCACTGCCAGCTCCAGAAAGAACAAGGGGATCCCAATGAGCAGCAGAAGAATGAAGTAGGGCACCAGATAGGCACCTGTGATGGCAAAGGGATGAAAATGAAATAAATATCTGCAACACATTCAGGTTTTCAGCCTGTTTGAAATCCATGTGAGCTGAGGCACAAAAGCTGATTGTTAAGCTGCAGAAGGAACATTTGGACTGTCAGGTTCTATTTTTAGAGAGTGTTTTCTTTATCTTCCTCCACTCTCCTTTCACTGTTTGCTCAGTCTTACTTCCCACTATTTCTTTTACTCAGTCTTTCCAAAGGTTTAACTTCCATTCACCGCTTTTACTGAAACGGCCATCTCTTCTGTCACAGAAAGGAAAAGGGGGAGAACAGAAGGCAGTCGGAGACAACAGGCCCCATCCAGACCTGCTTACGTCAAGATATGAACAGGCACCATGGTGACAAAGCCATTCAAAGCCAAGTGTTCATACTGAGAATCAGCACAAACAGAGAGGCCTGTTTTTCAGACTAAATACAAATGACACACAATGATATTCAGCCCAAACCAGCAGTGGTTAACAGAGGTAGCAACACGTAAAAAAACAATGGAAGGATCATGTTACAAGGCCTTTGTGTTGAGGGTGACTTTTCCTGTCAATTCCGAATACTTTATACAAAGAATAGAGGCAAATGACATTTGCTAGATGGATGACAAAATGTACCTGCTTTTTTCTATATTTTTAATGACAGATGTTTATGTTTAAGCATTTAGTAGAGTATTTTATCCAAAGTGACCAGAGGAGAGTAAGAGGAACGAGATGATGTGAATGAAACAATGCAAAGTCATCCACTTCTAAATAAATCATTATCTATTTATTTCTTGAATTTGAAGAAAATTATTAAAAAGACATTAAAAGACTACGATACAGACAAACATGGGATAAATATTTTCAGAAATGACTAATTTTCTAGACAATAAATTGACCATTTAGAGTCAGAACAAGTGGCATTTCTGTCTAAAATCCTAAAAAAGGTGCCAAGCTCTGAGATATCTTATTTTCTTCACAAGTGATCATGGTGTCATTTTATCAACTCCATCTGATCAGTATGTCCTATGAAAACGATTCCATAATGAGGGGGTGATTAGCCCTCTGTCATTTCTGGACTCTATGGAGACAAAGTGCTGTTAGGAGAAGGGACAGAAATCCCTAACTCTGAAAGCATGAAGATGATTTGTATCAGCTTTGTATGATGGTTTAAAAACACATAAAACACGACACAATTTGTTTATATCTTTGAAGGGCAATGCAGCTATATGCATTTGAAGCAAAGAACAAATCTCATGAAAACCAATGTAAATAATACAGATGTGAAAAAGTAAACAATTCCTTTTCTATGGCTTTGTATAAACCTTGTCCCAACATGCAAAAAAGACAGAGTATCTCCTCCAAGTCTGTTCTGACGTGATGTGGCTTTTTTCTTTCATTCATTTGACAAGGTAAAGCAGTAAATTCTTATTTTATAGCTTTATCTCTACCTTGACCTGTGTCTTGACCATAAAAGGGAACACCATCCATCCATCCATCCATTATCAATACCGCTTATTCCCTGATGGGGTTGTGGGGAAAAGGGAACACTTTACATTTAAATTACAATCACAGTTTATGTGAAAAAACAGACCTATGTGGATAGCCAATGATTCTTAAAACCACTGCTCCTTTATCTAATCAATTTCTCATTTTTAAGATAGAGTGATTATGAGGCTAAAGTATTGTAGGTAAGCCAGCTATTTTTCTTTGTAATTGAAGACTGAATAAGTAAACATTAACTTGCCTAGAGACACAGAGACAGAAGGACAGACAAGAGACAGAGATGGTTTGTCCTCATTTCTAGGACAAGAACAAACAAGACAAGGCATCAGTTTATACTGAGTCAAGATTCAGTGGGGATTACACACTAATTACCTGCCAAAAGTATGTTCACAACAGGATTGTATTGTGCAAATGTACACATAACCAGCACTGATATTTGTCAGCATTGTTTTCACACATACATTTTTTTTTAATGAAAACCTCCCACACTAGGTACCAATATTGTCTGGAAGCCCAGGGGAACGTGCATTCTCTTTCAACTTTGTCCATCTTAGTCATTGCCACCCTCTCATCTCATCATAACACAAATAAATCTAATAGACTAAGCAAAGAAATCAAATAATAAATGGCAAAAGAGAGCAAATAACTGCTGTATCAGCCTTTTGTGATCCTGTTGTACTTGCAGAAAACCTGATTATATCTAAGAAATATTTGAGGCCATAGCTCTGACTTGGCGAGAGTAGCTGGGTTGATGCTGTGTTGCTATGTCAGGTTGGGACAAAAAACACCCCTTTGTTTGGTGTATTATTTAGCTATATCTGGAAACCACACAAACACCTACTGACACATTTTTAAGTTAATATAACCATGTGAGTGGAAACACTGTTATAAGTTTACGACTGTGTGGCCAGAGGGAAACATCCACACACCAGAACAGTCACGCTTCAGACCTTTTTTGTGGACAGCCTTTGTTGTGATAGCTTTTGCAGACTAATACGTATAAAGCTACAGCATTCTTTATACTGAGCTTTCAAATTTTGCCTGAGAATTAAATCTTCTGCTGCACGTCCATTCAAAACTTGTTTTGGTGCATTCACAACTTACACTTACTATTCTCTAGTTCTTTAAAGCTCTGCTTTTGTGCTGGTTACACAATTCTGACCAGTAACTGGGGTTTGATGACCTGTGAATATGTGTCGCTGACCTTACCAATATTACCAATATCCTAAATCAATTACAAAGCGATCCTCAAAGAGAAGACCTAAAATATATGCCTATGTTAACTCTGACTTTAGCAGAAAGTTTCTAATGAATTTTTGATAAATCCCTACTTTCAACTGAAAATTATGCAAGCAAAGATTGAAGATTGATTTGCTGCTGCAGCTCTGATCTTTCAAGCTTGTGGTGCTTTGAAAACTTATATCAGTTACTTGCAGGGTGTTATATAAGGCTGTGCTTTTTTTTACTACATTGTTTTAGAATCAGCTCATTTAATCTAGCTGTGGTCCTGCATAGATTATTTTATATTCTGCATCCTTTAGACATCATATGTAAGCATGTCAGCAAAAATAGTGCCAAGATTAGGTTCTGAGATTTTTAGAAAATTAGGATTTGACTAAATGAATAGCTGATAGGGCAGAATATTGTCCTTTAAAAGTAATGGACCTACTCAAAATGTGTTATCATTCTTGTTTGAACAAGGCGATGAAATTGAAAAAGAAAACAGACAAAAGGACAAACAAAAATAAATAAATGACATAACTTGGCTCAACATCTCTACATCAGTTAGCATCCTATGGAAAAAAATCAATCTAAGTGGGTGGCCCAATGAGTAAGTGACAGCCAAATTCAGGAAAACTAGCTGCGCTAACACACCGGTCGACATTGGCTCAGACAAACACCATTCCACTAAAGAAAAACAGTCATCCTCCTACCTCCTCCATTTTTCTGGCACAGGTAGGGAAACCTCCAGACGTTGCCAAGACCAACAGAAAAACCGACTTGGGCCAGGATGTACTCCAACTTGTTGTTCCACGCGGGCCGACCATCCTCAGCATCTGGATCAGGGGAGGGCAACAGGGCTTTTACTGGGGCGGTAGATCCAGGGCTGAGGCCCATACTCATCTGGCTACTCTTATAGTCCATGGGGTGCTCCAGGGACAGCAGGTCGGCCACTGACTCTGTGACCGGTTCATTGCTGTGTTCCCGCTGAGTCACCTTGGTGTTCTTTGGCATAGCTGCTGAGATACAGTTGCTCCTTCAGAGAGGAGGCCGACGGGTTCAAGAAGCGGGGAGCTGCAGAAGCTGGGATTGTGACCGGGGGAAAGGTTTGTGCTTTTCTTCAATCTGTGAAGAGAAATGAAGAAAACCTCTTGGTGATTGGGAGAAACTTTTATGTACCTCTAATCAACATATAGTTCAGAAGACTTCAGAGTCAGTGTTTCCCCCTCATTGCTGAATTTTTCATTTCTTTAATTAAAAGCATCAGTCAGTTTGGTAGGTGTTGCCATTTCACATTTCAAGAGATCATAAACAGGTATAAACACAGCTCATGTTTATAAAGCAGACACATTGTCTATCAGGAAAACTTCAAATGACTGGTAACAAAAAATTACTTTTTCAACATCTGGTTTGAGTGGGACATGTTTTTATGTGTTTGGCTGCTGGCTATCCTGAAAAAAAGGATAGTTGGTTGGACGTCAGAAATAAAATACACATTCAGAATAAGGGGAAAAAACACTGGTGTTCAATATCAGCAGAACTGGCAGACAATGAAGAGCGATGGCGCCGTACATGAAGTTATTAAATGTTGACAAATAGAACATACACATTGCTTTTTTATTTTAGAAAAGAAAATCTGCAAGGCGTCTTTCTGGAAAATGTGTGTAAATGATAGAAATTCTAATCAAAGACATTAAAATAACTAATAAAAAGTTTTGTAGGTTAATGAAAATGAGAAAGAAATCGAATTATTGTACAGTAAAATGTCAGGACGCAGACTTGTTACAAATGACTTTAACCGTTTGCTTTATTTAGTTTGCTTCTACAGTGGACACAAACAGCAGCTCTCAGAAGCCGAGAGGTATTTCTCTAATCCACTTCATCACCGTAAATGGGGCACAGATTGAATTACAATCTATTTTACAGCAGAGTCCATTATACTAAAGTTGAGTCATGTGAGTGGTGTGAACAGCAGAGAGCAGTCTGACTGGGACTGCTGATCTCCAAAGAATGCAGCAATTAAACTCCAGCATCTTTAAGCACACACTTCACCAGCTGTCGGTGCCATGTTTTCTTGTTTGTTTTTTTTGCCATTCAACATTTTGTCTCCTGGTTCTGCTTGCATTTTGGTTGTAGACGGCATCGGGCCTTTGTGTTTGTTTGTGTTTTTCACAGAAAGAAGACCTGCGTGGAAACTTTGTTGTTCTATTTTGCCAACATTTCACAGGCAGAAATGCAGTTATGTTTTTGCAATGCGCTGTGTCAAAAGCAGAGTATATAAAGCTGCATTTGCGAGGATTTGAAATGTCTTAACTGATAAAAAAGTACACTCCAATGATCTAGCATGGATACTATCAATATTTTTTGCAACAGAATACCTGTCCATTTCATAATGCAGCTATAATGACCGCTTAGGTTCAGTTTCAGTTATTTCATTTGAATCCAGGAGACTTTTAAAGCATAACTTGTATTTCCATAAATGTAACAGTGCCTTCTAAACACTATTTTGTTTAAAACAGAAATAATTATTTCAACTTAGATATATAAATAGCTCCTTTGCTCTAGCTTCTTGGTAGTTTGAGACACAAACTTCCACTATGGAACAAAGTTAAAACCCTAACAGAGAAGTGGGTCCCCATTTACTTAAAGTCAAATTAGATTTTTTTTTGCTCCAAGCATGATGACCTTTAAAAAGACCGGGGTTTGAAAATTACATGGAAACATTTACGAAAGCAAGCATTTGCCTCGTGTAAACTAATTAGCGAAAAGTCTTTTGAAATAAAGGCTGCTTAAATGCCACAGAGTAGCCGTGAGAGTAGAAAAAAGACTGGAAGCAGACGTGGAGTCCTCGCTCAGCTACGTGGGATGTGTGAGACCTGACTTCTGGCTCTGGCAGCTTAAGGGCAGAGAACAGAAGTCAGGTGTTTGATCTGAAGACCGGGTCAGCCGTTTGGAAACAGATCCGGCCTGACTGAGATCAGGGGTGGGGTTTGTGCTCACGGGGACTTCTTAAGACCTCCTCCCGGCCGTCTGACCCTAAAGCCCATCAAAAGGCAAAAGCAGTAGCACGCACATCACATTCCTCAGCAGTCACGACACACAGTAGCAGGAAGCCTGGTGCTCAGCACAAATCCCACAACCGCACCGACCTTTTCAAACGGCAGTGTACAGCTACACTATTCTGAGTCACCCCCGGACCCCCTGCAGGTCAGGTGTAAAGCTGTTATGTGGATGTTTGCAAACAAATGTGGCATCCTACCCCCCTTTGACTGAGCTTCAGTTAGTCGGATTTAGAGTTTCAGAGTTAGACTTTGGGTAAATCATCTAAATCATTTCAGTCCTACTGATTAATTACATTTTTGGGTAGACTTTCTGACTACTTATGGGTCGGACTGACGGTCACCTGTGAGTGAAAGAAGACACACGTTCTTCGATGGTTTTCTAATCCTGCGCTGTGAACGTTTTTAGTGCTGCGGCAGCCGACCAGAAACTTTTAAACTTCTGTGACTGTGTATTCCATCTGATGGTAAGGCCAAGAATAAGTTCCTGATTTTGGTTGGTCATTTTTCGAAACCCTCGTGAATGATGCGGAGGGTCAAAGGATGTGGAGCGCACTTTCATCTGTGGCAAAAGTCTTCCTAGAACTATATAAACCCAACTCTCAGTAGACATTTGAGTTGGTGACGCACAGGTTGTCCACAAAGCTTTGCTCCGCTGTTATCTGGTGTGGTTGCTAAGCAATAGGCTCTTCCTGGTAAATCGAAACCCCATCATTGCAGTATTGTTTCCTACCTCCAGCTTCAAATAAACAGATATGATATTCCCTGAAGGGTGGCCTCTCTGTGACAGAGCTGGAGGGGTGGGGAGTGTGTGTGTGTGTGTGGGTGGGGGGTGGGGGGGGGGAGGGTGGAGAGTGTGGCAAAGCTTGAGATGATGGTCTGTTGTCAGGAAACCATCACAAGCTGCTTTGTGATTCAGATATCTCCAGAGAGAAAATGGAGTCATTGAAAACGTGGACAGATATTTAGAAGAAATGATCGCACCTCCCTTTGACTTGCTCTGATCATTAAGAACAAATACCTGTCAGCTGTCAAGAGTCATGCAGGGGCCAATCCTAACTCCCTAACCGTAGGAGCAACCTCTGATTCCCTGTCAAGGTCAAAGCAGCCCTAACAGCAAAGCACAGATGCAAACTGTACCGACACGATTCAGCAGATCATCCTTAAAGCTTCAAATTGAGCATGAATTGGACAATTCCGCGACAGCGTCAAACACTAAAGACTAATGTGTGACGCTCACCGTCAACGCTGCGGCGAAATGAGCGTTTGTCAGGTGATGAAACGGGAGCTATCTCTGTTCTCCATCTAGTGATTTCAAGCCGCTTTCAGTCACGGGAGTGCCTCTCGAAAAGAGAGGGAGCTGCTTGTTATTCTAAGAGAAACACCATCAGATCCAAAACTGATCGCATCCTGGACATGGCTGCAAAAAAAAAAAAACGTTAAACCGTTTTCTTACCTTTTAAAACGATTTGGCGAGACTGCAGAAATCCTACACGAGAATTTAAAATCTTCATTCAGGCACAGTCTCCGCATGCAGCATCTCTACGCGCAGAGATGCGAAATCACGGAGCGCCTCCAGTCGCGTATTGGTGCGTAAAGTCTGACGCAGGAACTCAACGCCTGCCACAAGTCCGTTTGGTAAAGTCACACTCACTTGTGCACGTGCACGGTTTATAGCCGCCGTTTGTCTCCCTTTCTGTGCGCTGGATGCTCGTTAGGATGGCTGCTTACACATCTGGAGTCCACGTGGTTATCGCTGCGTCTTGGGGTAAAAGATATTACTATGGCAGGTCACGACAAAGTCTGACGCAAGTTTGAGTCATCGGGTTGTGATCACGTCAATAGTTGAACCCGTAAAAAAAAACAAAAAAAAAAACACTTGCGATGTTTAAAAAGTGTGTTTTTCCCATGAGCTTTGTCTGCCCCTGTGGGTGGCTTTTCATTCCCTTTAAAACGGATTTACACGCTGCAGTGACCTGCTTTGCAGCATTTCACTGGGATTGTTTCTTCCATTGATGAGAAGGATGTGGATCTTTTTAATAGACAACAATGTCACCACAAACCAGGGAGGGATAACATGAGTGTGACAGGAGATGCTGCGTGAGGGTTGTAGAATAACTGCAGGGCTGACAGTATGTTTCCACCCACCGCTGATAATCACAAACCCACAGTGCAGATTATGTCAGATTAGTGGAAGATTTTCACCATCGATTTACAACTGCTGCCCATACTCATACTCATACTCATTTTAAGGATCGGTAGTGTCAAAACAGTAATGGAGAACATCTTTACTCTGTCTGCTGTATGACATAACTCAGTGTTTTTCTCTGCATACATCACAAGACACCTCTCTTTTTGCACACGCAGGCAGCACTGCAAACATATATGCACAGTATGTTTCATGTCTCCTTCAATTCATTCATGTGACTCACTTTCCAAGGGCTGGCTGCTGGGATTAGTTTCCATGGCAACAGTTGATCATATGATGGTTACTCACCCTGTGAGCATTTTTCTGACTTTCTTTTTTCCCCCTCCCTCCTCCCTTTTTTTTAATTTTTTTTTTTAACCTATACTAGCTTTCTCTTGTACAGCTGTGAATGAGACGCATGACTATGGCACAGCATCCCTCCACCAAACCAAACTGGTCACTTTGACTCTTGAACACGCTGGTTATTACACCTTTAATTTATGCGGCAGGAGACACAATGTTCCTCGCCTCCTCTTGTGGTTTATATCGAGGCACAGATCTCACGCCTTAAAGCTCCACGAGTTTGCGCGGGTCCCCTCAGAGTGCAGGCTCTAAATCCCTGAGCCACACACTTGTGTTCCATTTCTGATAAATGATACCACAGCGTAAACTTTTTCTTACGGCGCTCCACAGCATTCCATCATCCCAGCTTTCATCTGAAATGTGCTGACCTTGAGCCAGGTGATCTTTTTTTCTATTCATGTCTG